TGTGCTACGACGTTGCCCTCTTGAATGAAATTCCAGTCCCACGGCTGGAGGGTATCTTTCATTGTATCCCGTTTATAGACAGAGAGAAATCGATTCCGAACCCTTTTATAATCAGGCCCCGCAAGCTTCAATATGGATACCTGATCCTTCAGGTCGGCAATCTTCTCCTCGCTGGCGGCGACCTTGGCCTTGACTCTACGGAGATCCTCCTTGAGTATACGAACACTGTCCGGAAGACCAGCAAGACCAAGACCCCGGGGTTTACCAACGTATAGTTCTCCTATCACCTCACGAACCTCGAGTTCCTCCTCTTCTAGTGTTTGTTTCAGCTCATCATAGGCGTCTCTCTTCATTTCATCCGCACTACCAATCATCGATTGGGTAAGGAGTATTGCGTCACATGTTGGATCCTCTTGATCCGCTTGCAAAGTCTCCAGGCGATTCCGATTGTCCTTTAGGCGTTGGACCAACTCTGAAACTTTCCCAGTAGGATCAAGTCCAGCGTCCTTGCATTGTTGTCGAAGATCCTTCAACTTGGGAGCCATGATTGTTGTTCGACCGTTGGTGGCTAAGTCGTGCAGTGGAAAAAACTTGGTCACTTCTCACTGACGAGGCAAACCTAGCCCTTTTATGTGAAGGCTTGGCTGCGCCAAGCTTAATCTTACGCCAGGCCTTCTTATGGTTATGATGCCAAGGGTTCAATACTCGAGTAGAGGAGTTGAAGCCGAGATTTTTACCACATGAACACAGCGCACCCCATGGGCTGAGGAGACATGCACATTCTTGCGCTTCCTAGTTGAGGTGTGGCCTAGTGACTTTGCCCGACAGAAATCCGAGAATCTTAAGGGCCTGTTCAGCAACGACCTTTCCATTCCATTCGTACATACAAAATGGCCATTCGCGAAGGGAACCATAAGGGAATATGTATTGGCGAAGGGAACGAAATGGTCATCACCGAACAGGGCCTAAGTAGTTTGTTTGCGGAAAAGTGACTTGGCCACCGTGCAGAGTTACCGGATATGGAAGGTCAAGAATCTGCGTGTCTCATCCATCCATGGGATACTAGTGAATGAATTATTGTTGCCATCAAATTTCCCAATCATATTGCGGTATACTACAAGTGACGGACGGCATGCTTCGTTAATTGCGCCTACCGTCTCCCTACCACCTGCTCGGCCCTACCCGGTCCCATAGCTGTGGTGAGGAAATATAGGCTACCTTTTCAAAACCGGGAACGCGCTAAATCTAGGACATAATAGGACCAGATTTCCTTCCCCGCAAGGACAGGCAACCAAATCTATTGATCAACAAGCAACATGGCACAGAGGAAGCACGCCCGGCTCATAACTCAGAGGACATGCGATCGAGACATGCTGTTGCCATGAGATCCTTTTTGGTTTTGGAGACAGAAGGGGTGGTGGTACAAATCGGCGAGTGCGAGTTTTCTTTCTTTCATCGTTGATTGTCGGCTCCCTTTCCTCCATGGCAGAAAGAAAAATCCGCCATAAAAGTACCAATAGAACATTTAAAGTAGAACCAACAGTTATCATGAATTGGGATGAGCAGTTCCTTGCCATCCAAGATCAGCGCAAAATCTATTACACTTGCCACCAAAATTAAAGTGTTTCCACCTTCCACCACAGCCCTGCCATTATTTCTCCCTTTCCCAAACTGTTCCTTGCTCTGAATGTGTACTTAACCTATGCGCACACAAATGCAGACATAGAAAAGAAGCATAAAAGATAAGAAAACGCACAGACCAGCGCTTAATTTGACCAGCCCGTCTGTTACAGTTGGAACATTGTATTTCCGCTGAAAAGCCCTAACCTGGCGACTGAAACCCCCAAATGCTCATGATAAATTCGAAACCTGGCCGGCTTTACCAGTCTATCATTCTACATCCCCTTTGCAAACGGCTAACCTTCCTCCCCGTGCATAGCGAGCGATGTTCAGAGGTGGGTGCGGCGGGTTCTCCAGTGGTCGTAAATCTGGCGGAGGAGTATGAGGAGGCATGGGCGGTCCGGTCGGTCACGACCCGGATAATCTACGGGACTACAGTACTACCAAGCTCTTTCCCATATCTCCACCGTCTCTACCTACCTCCACATCACATGCAATGGCCAACTGACTGAACCAAAGCAGCCACAACAACCACCCTTCCGAACCCCTTGAGTACGGAGCAATGCCACATAGCAGGGCGCTACTGCCTGTATCGTGGCAGAATCTATAATGGCTAGTTGTACGCGGCCATGGGCAAGGGGGGTGGTGTGGAGGACCCGTTCAACAATGTGACCAAGTGGTCGGCAAAATATAAGGGGCAGAACCGCCGAGTGCACAAGTTGGATTCTTGGCCGTACGTTGAGTTCTTCCCCGAGGCCCTGTGGGACATGTTAGGCATCGATGGTGATGGCGAGGTGGAGGATGGTAGAGGTAAAGGGAAGGCGAAGGCGAAATCGCTGATTTTTTCGGAGCTCAATGTTTTTGGTGGGCCTGGATGAGGATGGTGAGGAGGATGAAGTTGATGGGGGGGACGAGGCTGGAGAGGCTGCTTGGAAGGTGAAGAAGAAGGTCCTGCAAAGGTCGCGGGACGAGGATGTTGTTGACGATGATGGCGATGATGATGATGAGGTAGCGGAGGAAGAGGAGGAGGCCGAGGATGATTTTGGCGATGATGGGGAGGGGTACTATGATGCTGAGATGTACTTTACTAATGGGGAGGATCATGGTCGGGATGATTGGGGGGATGAAGGGGGTGGTGAGGACTATCACTAGACAGACGAACCGTGCAACTACGAAACGTGTCTTTGATGTCTCTGTTATATTGATGCCTATTTCAACCACTCATTCTCAATTTTTTTCCTTTTTGTTTCTTTTCGGAATTTCTTGTCTCTTTTTCTGTTTTTAGAGATCTCGGGGCAAATAGCACCTCGTAATACTTTGAGCCACTGAGACTAAGGACGAGAAACAAAAAGAAAAACAAAGTGTCCCCTATATTTGCGCCAGGTTCTCTACTAGCCCCGCACGCATCCCGGTGATGGCATTCCCAAACACGGGGAGTCAGCTGTTCCAGTGTGTATTCGCACCAAGCTCTCCGTCCTCAATGATGTCCTTCAGTAGGTCTTCTGGGGTGTCGTTGTTTGTCTCTCTGTTAGCACTTTGATCTGCATTAGATTTCCAATCCATCCTCTTGTCATCTTCCCTCCTAACCCATGGTTTCTCCGGTGGCTCCCCCTGGTATAAAAGCTCGCTTATTGACTTCCCACCATTGCAAAACCTAATGATATTCCAGGTGCTTTTGAACTCTGCTCAAACCTTGCCTACTCCGTTGGGATTGCAGATCTTGCCCCCGTTGTGGCTCATTTCAAAAGGGTCCGCGATGGCAAACAGGTGTCTATCCTTTATCTGCGTATGCCCGCTCCTCCCCGTCCTACCAAGAACCGTAACCCAACCCTTACCTTACTTACTAAATATGCAGCCTTGGGTCAGGATGATGATGTCCTCTCTTTCGCATTGGAACCTATGCCAATAGTATTCTAAGAAGCTATGGAGGAGCTGGCCGACATTCATTTTGTTTGCGGAGTTGGGAAGACTTTCGATATCCTTAGCATACCAAACATGATGCTCTCTTTCGCCACCCTCATGAAATATCTGGACAGGCGGTGCGTCCTCGGAGATCGTGGTATTCTGCCGATTGACAAAAACATGGGGGTCAACCACTTTGATCACAAAATGGATTATCACGAGATGGTAGGCATAAGAAGAACCGGTGCCACGGTATGGGCCATTGAGATGTGTTCTCTTGGCCCACCACTGGTATGTGATAGTGTCAAGTTCACAAAATTCTGACTTGCCAAGGGCATTTAGAGGTTAGAATTGGGGTGCGGGCGTAAATACCTTTATAGAACGAACAGTTTCCTTGACTGTTAGATCGCATCGACTATGAGTTTGCAGCGTCCTAGTATTATGCACTCTCAGGTGGTTATTAAACCCGATGCCCGAACTCAAGTCACATGAATTACCAAGTAGACGTCGCTAGAGAGGTTTTGCGAAGGGATTTCGAGTGCCAAGACCCCGGTTTTACAAGGTTGCTGTGACAGAGCACTACATGTTAGTATGGTGATCAGGAAAATTATGTTTTCTACTATTTGTACCCGAGTTAACATATCCCGAATAACGGGGGGTTAAAAATAAAAATACCACCAGCAACCGCTGCATATATTGCGGCTCAGCTCAAGTACCTGCAGTATCTGGAAAACAGCATTCTCACAACAGACTTCGGCTGAGTCTAGATTTCAACTCGTCAAGCAGCTAGTGATTCTTTATTCCCCAATCTTGTTCCCTTGGCACAACCTGCTTCCGTCATTTGGAATTGGAGAACTACCAGCCCCCCCCCCCCCCGTTGGCCCCAAGACTTGGTCATTGTCGTTATCTTATGGCGCCTGCAAAACCACCCTGATAGCAGGGTTTAGCCAGACCTTGCTATCACTATTTCATGCTAGGGGTCGGAGCTAGTTCCCAAGAAAATTTAATCGCTGATCTTGTGGATTTAGCCAACCTGTGCTGAGCTACAATACACTTGATGAGGTAACTGTGGCGGGTGAGATATCAAGCATCCTTAGGCAAGCGGTCAGGTTGGTGTCCTTCCGGACTGGTCTCGGGTGATGAGGATTTTAGTATGGCAGGTTTCCCGACCTCGAATCACACTAACCCATTGGGGCTGTTCGCTGATGGGAATTGACAGATTGGAACGCGCAAGAGCACAATTGTGGATGAACATAGTCTAGGTAAACACCTCGGATACACCCCGACAAAACCTGACATACAAAAACCGCCAAAAAGAGCAACGAAAGAAAAAAACAGAGCGCCCAAAGTGCAAAGGAGTCCCACCCCGCTCCTACCTACCCGCGACCCTACCACACCAAACCCCCTCCCTTCCTGTCTGGATCCACTAAAGTATTATTAGTATCACCTTTGTAGAATACCTCTAGTCATGACATTACCTTGATCCTTATATTTCAAGCCCGTGTAGGCACCAGTATGCTGCCCAGGTGGGATTTGTGTGATCGTACGATAGATAGTTGGACCCAGGGTCCTCCCTTGTCAATGCTGCCAAGAAGACGGAAAATCTCCGGTAGAATTCCGCTGCCGCCGCGGGTGGGTCGTTCGCTTTGACCCTGGCATGGCGATTGAATACCTCTATTGTTTCCTTATAGGCTGGAGAGGTTAGCCTCAATCCTAGTACTTAAGTTGATTAGATAGCGTAGATTTCACACTGTTTTTCTGGACATCAGAGGGGTGTAGTCCATACAGTTCCTCAAATACGTACTGATCTTGTCGTCGCCCTGCACCATCATACACTAAGGCCTCAATGGCAGCATCTCCCCAATGTGCTATGACGTTGCCCCCTGCAATGAAATTCTGGTCCGACTTGTTGAGGGTCTCTTCCATTTTATCTGATTTAAAGATGGAGAGAAATCTATCCCGAACCCTTTTATAATCAGGTCCCTCAATCCCCAATATGGATACAGAATCCTTCCGCTCGGCGATCTTGGCCTTGTTTTCTGCATTTGGCTCCTTCACTGTATGGACATCCTCCTCAACTATACGGAGACGCTCCGGAATCCCAGCGCGACCAAGACCCCGTGGATTACCAACATAAAGTTCTCCTATCGCCTCATGAACCTCCAGTTCCTCCTCTTCTAATATTTGTTTTAGCTCATGATAGGAATATATCTTCCTGTCATCCACGCTACCCATCGTCGATTCGGTAAGGAGTATTGCGTCACATGTTGGATCCTCTTGATCCACTGGCAAAGTCTCCATGCGATGCCGATTTGTCCTGTAGGCATTGGACCAACTCTGAAACTTTCCCAGTCGGATCAAGGCCAGCGTCCTGGCATTGTTGTCGAAGATCTTGCAACTTGTGAGCCATGATTGTTGTTCGACGGTTGGTGGCCAAATCGGGGGGTTGAAAAAATGTGGTCCCTTCTCTCTGCCGAGGCAAACCTACCCCTTCTATAGTAAGTCTGGGCTGCGCCAAGCCTAATATTACACCAGGCCTCCATATGATTATTGTGCCAAGCCCTCTCTACTCGAGTACCACAAAAACTCGCCAAACTCGCTATGCACATCAGCAAAAAAAAACGGTGCGTCTGATGCATGGGCGGCGCGTCCTGACGCCGAGTGTTATTTCTTTGCATCCCCTGCCTCCTGTGCGTCCTGATTATGGTTGCAATGCCCCACTGGGTCCCGTGCGTCCGGGCTTGCAGCCCCGACGCCCCCCTACGTCCCCTGCGTCCCGCCACCATTCCCTCGCATGCACACCTCCGGTACCCTCTGGCCCCTCGGTTGAACGTCCGGATCACGTCCCTACGTTGCTACTGGAAAACGGTCGCTCTGATCCCAGCGCTCACGGCCTTGCGTCTGCATCACCCCCTGATGCTCAGCCCCGCCGTCCATCCTCAGGATTCCTGCCTGGCGCTCCCCTGTGTCACCGCGACATCTGGACCACGTTCTGCGGCAGCCAACCCTCCTTTCAAACCCCTACGATAATCTCCTAGCGTCACCCCCTCCTGACGCTCCGCTCCGGGCTTCTTTCTCCGGATTCCCTTATAGCGTCACGCGACAATCCTACAATGCGTCCAGTTCCTGCTGCCTGCGCTCGCCACTTTGGGATAACTTCAGACTTGAAACGCAACACTCGCTACATTCCCGGTTACGCTCTGCTGTATTGTCTGCTGGTGGTGATCCGTATGAGAGCCTCCCGACATTGCTGCGACATTCATACCAGCTGATAGACATCGGAGCCTCCCTCACGTCCCCTATGCACGATATCGCCGACCCCTCGCGCGCAAGCATGTCATGGTTCCTGACAGCAGGTTTGCGGATCCTCCGGTGGACACTTGATTTCTAGCACTTTCGCTTAATCATATTCTATTATTTCTACGTACAGCTTGCTATCAAGAGACCTTTATCATTCTATGCCCATATTGCCTGTTTGTTGTAGGAGCATTCGCGTCTGGTGTAAGAAGTTCTCAGTGTCACATAATCCATGCGTCTGCATGACGTTTGTCAATATATTTCATTAAACGTCCTTAAATCAATGCAACTGTTGACCAGCCATCGCCCGTCTGCCTCCAGAACCAGGTGGGCTTGCCCAAGTATCGTGCCTATGTCCACTATGGTAAACCTTCTCGCATCGGGCCTAAGGTGAATGGTGACAAGATAGTGTAATTCTGACGGACGCCTAGAGTTAACTGCACTCAAAATCTGAAAACAAGCGAGTCAATGTATTGTCTTCTGGTGCCTACAATCTCGCAGTTTGAAGAGTGCCATAAGCTTTCCCGGAAGACGGCCCCGGAGCGCACCATCCATTTGCTCCCCACCTGCCTGGACCCAAACCCAATCATTCAGACTAGCCTGGTTTCGAAAAAGCCCGGATCCCGTAGATCTTGCGCAGTGGATGTTGTAAATATCGGTTTCCTGAAAGGCGGGAACTGGGATTTCGAGTTGCGTCAGTAGTTCAACGGGAAGGAGTGGAAGTATAGCAGGATCGTCGGGAGGCGACGCTCTACCGGCAGCGTCTGGCGGCTCTATCGGATCAATTCGGTACTCATGTTTTCGGTGGTGATACTCAGGGCATTGCAAAATTCGACCAGACATGCAACATCACCATGGTGCCCCTTTAGGACTCCAAGACGGGACTCAGCCCCCGGTGCAGGTCCGGTACCCGCTTTGTTCAAAAGGTCGACAACGTCTGCCGGAATATGAGCTGCTTGGCGTCTTACTGAATCTAGGTTCAAAAGCCACATTCGGATCACGTGTTGTCGGCTATAGCTGCTCAAAATCTGCCTGGAGGCCTTATTTTTATTCGATCGTCGCCATACATCCTTAATCTGATCCTTATGCGCCAGCTCCCCAAATTCAGTTGAATACATAGGAATATTTCCAAACTGGTATATGTGATCACGGAGGTGAGATAGCAGATTCATCTTGATGAAGTTGAAATGAGATTTTGACTGAATCAATTCCATTCGTTGGTCGTCTTCCTACCCGTAATGCTGCTGGCGTATTTTCCGCACCTTCAGCCTGGGGTCAGATTCATTCAACTGGGCTTGCTGATGCCGTATCCCCCTGACCTGATCCTTGAGTTCGGCTCGTGTCTGTTTCGACATTCGAAATTCTAAGAAGATATCCTTCGTGGTGTAAAACCTGTGGGGATATTGTTCCCTCTAACCTATAGTCTCTGCTGTATGACTTTTATATTGCGCCATCAAACTGAAATCGAGTAATGACCCGAGGCAAGCAAGCGCACGTTTGAAAGGTAGCTGTTGCCCACCGTCCGGCAGTCTCAACGCCACAACTAAACCTGCTAAAAGTCATCACCCCAAATTCCTCATCACTTTCTCTTGCCACTGCGGAACCTGACGGTAAGCTTTTTTGGGAACAAAGAACTCGGGGTACAGCGGCCACGACTTCCAAGCATTATCAAATGCTTTTAGTCGCCCATGTTTCTTGAGAAATCCTTGAATCCAATCCATCATGTGCTCAAACAGTCCCAGGTAAATTGTATGAAGGAGATCAGGCTGGTGAAAGTCTGGCGCAGACACCCATCGGAGCCCATGGAAAACATTCCGCCGGATCTTGACACCCCGAGTGTCCAGTGTGGGGTGGGGCACGTCTGAATCTGATATCTCCGACGCGTTGCGAAGTTGCTGCTCGAGTTCCTCGTATGTCGCATAATCTCTGGCCTGATATGCCGTGTTTGTGTTGGCACCTAGCTGGTGTGGACAAACCTCACATTTAGGACAGGCGTTGGACTTTGTTTCATGAAGGGCAACGTTTTCCATATAGTCCGCAATCCACGCAGCCAATATCGGGAAACACCTCAGCACGTTCCTACCCACACAGTCAATTGGGACGCCATCACGCCTAGTCTCTTGCAAGGGCTCAAATAAGAGTTCAAATACACCTTTAAGGGTGTCGGGATTGATTTCTCGCAGGGATCTGTTTGCTGAAGCCGACTGGGGCAACTTAGGAGGGACAGGTAGGAGCGCAAGAAGGAGGATAGCCGTCGATCCGGGCCTGTTACGCCTAGTCGACGCAAGATTTCCTATCGTAACGTACACCGGCCAGGCCTTCTTGTCACCGGAGAAGTTGGTGAGATGGGTCTGAGGGGACATCCCGATGACTGGAACAACGGTGGCCCCGTGTGGAAGGGTTTCCTGTCATAGGTTAGCCAGATCTTCAGACCGAAGGTGATAAGACATTGGTATAGTACTTGAACCTCCCACCACCAGTCTACGGTAGGCATTTCAGCATATACTCTGTGTCCATTGTGATCGTATTCATGTTGCGGTGCGTAAATAAGATCTTCTCTATAGGTCATCTGACGAAGAAGATATCGGACAAAGTCTAGAAGGTTACGGTGGAAGAATGGTAACGTTCTCATGCCATCATCCACTTTCCCTTCGTACCATCGCAGATAGGGCCTGTATAGATCCAGTATACGGAGGTGGTTCTCGAGTACATGCATTGAACGGTAGCCGACGGATGGCGAATTACCAAGGCCACTCGAAAAGAACTCATTAATAGGCGACTTGGGGAATTTGCTGGGAATAAACCAAGATGCAAGTTTGAAATGATGCGCGGGCGTGAATGGAGGCCATGGGTCCTCCGCTAGATTTTGGTTGTCTCGTCCAAACCCCTTCACCTCTGCAATGGATTCCCCAGCCCCAGGAAAAATAGCCAGTTCGCTGGGCGCTAAGGACACGTCGAACACACCGCATGATTCCATACAGGACTCCTCTGTAACCTCCGGATTTAGCCAGTCAGATACGCAATCCATAGGATCACCCTCCGACTGATAGTCGGAATCTGTCTTATCCATGTGGTGGAAAGCGTCATGGTGGCGTAATGGGTCAGGTTCACTCTGGCGAAAAGGACCGTCCGAGGTGGTCGGCCGTGTACTCGACGCGAGATGAATGGGTAGATTAGCATGGGCGCTGCGCAGGTGTTTCTGGTAAGGGCCTGCCCCGGCGTATTTGCAGAGACAATAAGAACATTTGATAGCAATTATGGGAGCCAGTGCTGTTGAACTTTTGAAGTGCAACGCAACTATTCAGACGTGAGCAGAATGCTCAAGTTTTGTTGCGCGTGGTACGGGGGAGCTAGGGCGCGGCGTACCCCAAAGGGAGCTCTAGTCCAAGTAGTTTAGCGCATGGCCTGCGTATCTGACGAGCACATGGGTTCGAGTTTCTTCTTATGTATCCAGTTCTCTTAGTACTAATAATTTGTTTCCAATTTCGAAGAGTGGCCGGACATACTAAGTTTATCATCTTGAAAGAGAGGCTGGCTCTGACGTTGGCATCGTGCAAAGTTTCCATTGCTGTATTGATCATGTTGAAAATTGTTCCGCATGAGTAGGATGTCAGGAACCCCGATGTATAAAGGGAGGATCAAGAATGCAGGATTGTCGTACCTGAAAGACTTTCCACAAGATACACTATCCACAACGCCTATCATATCCATACCCCGAAAAGTTCAGACAAAGACGAAATGGCTTAAAACAATAACGTACGATACCTCTACATGGTGAATGTGGCCAAGGGAAAGAAACCTCCAGCCAGACCTACACAGGCCTACCAGCTTCCTGCTGTAGTTCTCGCTGGTGCAATTTCGGCTCAGCACCCTGGGAATCCAAAATCTCGGAATATAAGGCATGTCTCAACTTCACGCCCGATGGGAATGGCAGAATGGAGTACGGCGTGTGGTGGAAAACCGTCAAAGATCAGATGTCAGCCAGGTACTTTGCGAATATTCTTACTTTCCCGAATACTGATTTGCGTAACATCTTCAACAGCTTGAGGAGCGTGCGCCCGGCCTGCGATTGGCTTGTAACCGCACAGGCAAATAATCACATACCTAGGATTTGGGCGATCGATGAGGCCATTGTTCAACTTG